AGGTATATTTTGCTTCTATCTCCCCACACTTTTAAGTCACCCCATAATCAAGGACCAAGTCTTTCTGTCTTTCACACAGAGGCTTCCAGCACAATTGACAGATTAGCAGATGGGCTGGGCGGGAAAAGAGGATATGAAGGCCCTGGACGCTTGCCAAGAAATTTAAGGCACAATCCCGTGTGTGTTTAGAAGGGGGGAAGCCGAACAGCTCCCAGCTTGCCCTAAGCAGCCCTGGGACTGTCCCTTTACCCTTCAGCCTTGGAAGGAAGAAGATTCACCACCTATCGTTCTATGGACTGAAGGTCTCACTGCTTTTGCTGCATCTCCTGCAGTTCTCAATCTCCCACAGATGCTTCTCTGGGTATATGCAGTGCAGGGTGGTGTGAGATGCAGAAAAGATCTGGGACTCAGACCACGGGGGGAAAGAACACACATGTACTTAAGCTACTTTACATGGGCTCTGAACTGTGTGTGTGTGTGTGTGCATGTGTGTTTAAAGGACCTTGTCTCCTAAGGACACCCCCACCTTGTAAAAAAGGGAATTTACGGACAGGGAAGAGATGGGCAGAACACTCAGGCGGAAAAGATTCCAGGGTGGGCAGAGGCGGAAGGGGAGGGAGCAGCCAAAAGGGGGTCACAAAGGTCATCAAAGGCCCTGTGACTTTGTTTCCCCAAGTGTGGTGCAGTGATTAGTGTCCTGGCCTGAAAATCTGGGATTGCCGGGTTCCAGTCCCAACCCAGCCGTGGGGCCCACTGGGTGATGCTGTGCCACTCACGGACTCTCAGCACAGCCTACCTCACTGGGTTGTTGTTAGGATAAAATGGAGAGGGAGAGGAAGCTTGTGTAAGAGGAGGCCACCTTGAGTTCCTTGAAAGGAAAAAGGTGCGATATAATAAATACAGAAAATAAATGAGCAAGTGCCTGTGGAAGGGAGCCTTAAAAGATTCAAGGTTCTGGCTCTAATGGGCATCCTTGAACACCGCCTCCGATGGGCTGCTTATAGCAAAGAATAACAATGAACATTGTTGAAATAAGCAAAGATGGATGGTCCCCTGCCTGCCTTCCTTACTTCCTAGGTGATGTAAATGATTATTGTGCATGAATAAATTTTACAATTCTCTCTCCCTCTCCTCCCCTCCCCTCCCCTCCCCTCCCCTCCCCTCCCCTTCCCTTTTGTGATCCATTCCCTACTTGATTTTTCATTCTTTGTATTGGTGAAAACAGAATGCAAAATGAAAATGACACTGAAAAAAGAAAGAGCGGCTGAGAGTGAAGGGAGAGCGCAGCAGAGAGGGGAGCGCCTGGGTGCCCCAGAGACCCGAATCATCCTTGAAGCATCCTTGGTCCTGCTACCTGGTTGCCGTGGCAACACAAGACTTGCTCTCCGGGCTGCTGGCCCTGCTCGAGCCTCCTTGGGGACTGACGGCACAAAGACCTTGCGGCTGCCCACCCTGCCGGTCTCTTCGGAGTCCTTCGCATTGGCAGGGGGGCCAAGCGCCCTGCCGGCTCCTTCACTAAGCCCTCGGGAGAGGGGAGCTGCTATTCCGCCTGTGCCAGCGGGCAAGAGGTTCAAAGGAAGAGATGGGGAAGGAAGGGTGACCGCAGAAGGCAGCATTCCTCTGCCAGGCAGGCACACTGACCTGAAAAGCTCAGTCACAAATCGTTGTTGTTGTTGTTGACATTTGATGGCAAAGTAAGGGAGTTTTATTGCATAAAACAGGAACCCTGGCTCCTGACCTTAGAAGCCGAGTCCCAAAAGCTGACAGAATTTTATTATGTATTAATCTACCCATCTCTCTGTGTGAAATATTTCTATATCCTCTCTTATTTGCACAAATCCCAGAGAGGTTTACCACAAAATAATCCAGTCAAAATTCAGCAAGAAAGGAAGATGGAGAGAACAGAAGAGAGCTCCTTTCTGGGGCACAGGCAAAGACAATTTTTTTTTTTTTTAAAGTTCTGGATCACCAAGTTCCCGGGACCTTTTGCTGGGCAGCACGCAGAGGGAGATCGTTGCACAGGATGGGTGCCGCAGCCGAGAACGCCCATCTTGGCTTCACCCCAAACAGAAATCCAAGTCCCATGGTATGGAGAGGAGGGTCTGTCCCAGACATTTTACAGAGGTTGGTATGGGGGATGCATTCCGGTCCCAAATTATAGGGCTTTGCATACAAATACCTTAAAGACGCAATCCGAGGGCCTCCCTCATTGTCTGGAAGGCCATAGGATATCGGGAGCCCCTGCGTCATGGTCCTCCAACTGGGGAGCTCCGGCCTGCGCCCCTTGCCGCCAGCATGGGAAGAACCGGGCCAGCTCCATCTCTGAGGGTGGACAACGTCCTTGGAGAGGGTTGAGGGGGTGTGTTGGGGGGACAGAGTGGGGAGGCAGCTGGGGCCGAGAACACGCTGCATCCGCACGGCACCCTGGGCTCCTCCCCCCCCTCTTGCCAGTGCTGCATCAAGAGAGCCAGCAAGACGAAAAGGAGTGCGAGGCGTGGGGTGGGGTGGGGTGGGGTGGGGGAACCCCTTCTGCTCTGCACTGGATGCGGACAAGCCTCTGAGTCTGGAGCCTGCATGCGACAACGGCGGACAACATGGGACTGCGCACCAAAGCGAACTCACAGCAGACTGCCAGTGAGTGGATTATCAGCGGCGGCGGCCTTGCACTGTACTGATATCGCCCTTTCTTCCTCCAGCAAGGAACCCAGTGCAACTTACAAGCTGCTTCTCCTTGCCGTTCTGCTCTCACAACAACCCTGTGAGGTGGGTTGGGCTGAGAGCCACCACGTGAACTCCATGAGGACTAGAACCCTGATCTCCTGAGCATAGACTATTTAGCCCAGACATGGGTGTGGCACGGCGCTCCCCATCAGGAGCTTAGTCACTGAATTTGGCCCAAGCTGCCAAATTATGATAACGCACAATTATTATGCATAATTATTATGAGAGAGGGGCGCTTGAACTTGAGCTGCTGCAGTGAGCAGGGGGCTGGCCATGACAGTCTTCCGGCTCCTTCCAGCAATATGATTCTACAATCTGCTGACCACATCCGGCAGCACCGCTCCAGGCAGGCAGGCTGCCTTCTGGCCCCAAATCCCCCTTCCCACATGCCAATAGCAGCAAAAGTAACATCAGGCAAATTTATCCTAACCACCAAGCAAATTAAAGAGGTGTAAAATCCCACACCATCAAAAGCTGACCTGCAATCACAGGCTGCAGCAGTAAGCTAACCTCCAACACACAGCAAGCCTGCCGGAATAAAAAAAAAAACAGCGCAACTTCGCATCGTTTCCCATGAGCGGAACCAGTAACGGGCAGGTTTTGTTTGCTTAGCTGCTGTTCCAGAGCTCAGAGCCAAACCACACGGGGCTAGTCCTGTGTTCAGACAAAGGCACACAACCTGGCTGGGTTCGGCCTACTGAGGTGCAGCTTGTAGGCGGGGGTCCTTTGGGGGGCGAAAAAAGGCCATTGTCAGAATAAAGCCAACGCTGCGTCTAGTTCTGGGTTAGCAGGATGTCTCAGGCAGGGACCAGATGAAAGCAGCCAGGTCGCACATCCTCACCCCACGTCCCCCTTCAACTCACGGCACATGTCACCGGGCCCTTTGTCCTTTTCCTTGTATCATTACGGTGCGTGTCTTTTCAAGATAGCTATGGGATGGGTTGTCTCTCAGGGAATCTAAAGTTTTTAGGGGAGTGACGGTACCAAGAGACAAACAGTTTCCAAGAAAAGGGTGCATGCCCTCACAAGCAGTGGCACCTACAGGGGTGGATGCATGTGGTATTACGGGATCGGAGCAGATGGAGCTTTAATATCTAGGACTCAAAATATGCGGGACCCAGGATGCGCTGAAGCTGGGCTCGTGTGGCATCTCGAGTACAGGTGTCCAAGAGCAGAAGGACTGTCTCTCGCCCCAGGTGCCCAGAGGGACAGCTGTGGGGAGTAGCACCTGACGGACTTGGCTGGAAGGCTCCAGTAGGATCCAGGGGGTGAGGGTTCAAATCCTGCCTGACTTTGGACCAGTGACTTTCTTTCAGCCTAACATCCACAGGGAGTTGGATGTTGCATAAAGTTTGTGCTGACTTTGTCTTCTCTTTAGTTGCATTTGCCTAGGCATTGGAACATTTTAGAATGACAGCATTTGGAACTTTTTAGAAAGAGCAATATGAAGCTGTGCGTTTGCACATCATTTGCTGTTTGAAGACTTGTTGATGCTTTCTTTTCTTTTCTTTTCAAGTTTGAATGGTAGGGAGTACGGGTAAAAAGGTCGTGTGCTTTGCCCTGAAACCTTTGTGGATGAAAGATATTCTGCAGATATTTTAAATGAATAATGGAATGAATGAATGAATACTAGATCAGCACATGCAGTTTAAATCTGAAAAGGGCATGCAGTGCATTGACTCTGAAGTCCAAACACACATTTGGGTATCCCTCAATGGATGAGAGTTACTACTCTTGATTCAATAGTCTATTTCCGACCACTAAGCTTCTTAGTTGGATCGGGGCCATCTGTTTCGCTGGACGGCACCAGCCTTTCCATAATCTGCTAGTGGAGTGGGAAGCATCACCCTGACAACCCCACATGTGCTGTCTCCCCCTTTGTTTGGGCATGGGGCAAAGTGAAGCTCTGTTTGCCCCCAGTGACATCACTCCTTCACCAAACAGGATGGACAGATGGACTGTGTGCCATCGATCACATGGCAGGGCTTAGCTATTCAACGTCCCTGATTGGCCGGGCTCCTGGTCCCTGAATGGCTGGGCTCCTGGTCCCTGATTGGCTGGGCTCAGGAAACCAGCAAGAAGGTTTCTTTTCAGAAAGCAGCTAGTGACAGGGCCACAAACAGGGTCAGACAGACACTGGAGGACATTCAATAAAGATTCTGCACTCCAAATGCCTTTTCTTCTGATTCTCACCCCTAACAATTCAGTATATCACAATTCTGGAATAACAGGTTGAGAAAGCGCTTGCCTGTTCGGAAGGATGCTGTTGTTAGACTTACCCTGGGGGGATAGTAGCCCTGGTGCTCAGGACGGCCACGCGCTGCGTCCCTGGCCGGTTCAGGTTGTTTTGACCGGGGAGCTGGGGGTTGCTGGGAGCACTCTGACTTCGTGAGAAAGCGGCCCCTTGCATCCCGTTGGCCGAGCGGACCTGCTCGATCTTGGCTGTCCCCCCAGCCTGCGCAGTCCCCAGAGACCACAGGGCCATCCCGCTCAACGTATTGCTCTGACGGACGGCCTGCGTGCCGTTGCCGTTGCCCGAATACACCTTCCTGCGCTGGGAGGCCAGGATGGCATTGGAGGCCGCCCGGGTGCTGTTGACCAGCAGGCATTGTTGGCACGAGCAGGGGTGCCCGGAATTGGTGCCCACGGGCCAGGACTGGGACTTGGGGATGGAGCCCATGGTGAGCGGGTAGGCCAAGTCCATGCGCCTCCGGAGGCGGCGCTTCCGCTGCGTCTGCCGGTTCACCTGAGACATGCTGTTGAAGTAGATCAGGTAGCAAAACCCCAGCGAAGACAGGTCCAGCCAGGGGTGCTGCTTCTCGTAGGCGTTCTGAATGGTGATGCAGATGTCCATGTCGTACGGTGTCCAGGAGTTGTTGTCGTTCTCCCACTCCCACACGATCCCCTTGCCGGGAGCCGAGGAGGGGTCGTAAAAGTTCCTTCGCACCGGGCGCATCGTCCCTGGGAGAGAACACAGACAGAGGGGACCGGTCAGCTGCCGCCGCACAACACGGGCGCTCGCTCTGGCCCAGGGACAGGCAGCTGCAGCCGGGTCGATCATGTGGTCTCCAAAATCCCTTCCAACTACAATCCCATGATTAGAAGAAAGGACCTATTTTTATGGATTAAAGGGGGTCCTAGCTAAAAACACAGCTTCTTTAAAACATGCTTCCCCCCTAAGAAAACTACTATTTTCTAGCCATGTCTCAGCAGACCCATTGAGACATGGCTATCCTAAGCTTCATTCACTGTAATGGGTCTACTCTGTGTAGGACTAATATTGGGTCCTAAGCTTCCTTTTGAGATGTTATGGCTGCTCCTACAAATCCTGTGATGTTTTGCACCATATCTTATTTTTAAGTCCTCTGTATTGCATTTTATGTTGTCAAGCATTTGTAACCTATAGACAAAGCATTTGTGACCGGGCAATGTCAAAGATACAGTTACAAGGCAATTCGGTGTGGCTGCCCAGGAGGCATCCAACAAGTGCAGAGGAAGCCTGGAGACGCAGCTTGGCTCCTTGGTTTCTCCCAGTCTGCAAAAGACTTTGATGGGCAATTTCAGTGGTCCAAATAACATACACCTGCTCACAAGGAGGACAGGCAGACATACTACTGGGATACCTCACAGCCCACCTCGTCTGCTCCTCCGTGCCCCTGGGAAGCCCACCCAGTGCCAGTCCCAAGGTTGGTTTTCCAACCTTGAAGCTGCAGTTGGGACAGAAAGAACCATGCTGGCTGTAAAGGCAGTGGGCAGACTCTCTGAGACCAGAATCACAGCTCCGACCTCTCCGATGGCCACTGAGACAGCACCCAGCAGCCAAAGGACTGTACCCGAATAAACAAACAAAATAAAATTCCTTACATGGGTTTTTAATGGTCAGCAGGGGTGTTCTTAGGAGAAGTAGGGCTCTGACCTTTGCAAGATGGAGCCATTCTGTGGACAAAACTGCACACGGTGCTTTTCTTAAGAACACAAGAAGAGCCACGCTGGGTCAGAACAAAGGTCCATCCAGTTCAGCACTCCACACACACATCACGCCCACAGGATGCCCCAGGCAGGCTGGGTGCAAGATCCCCCCTGCCCAAGCTCCTCAGCAGCTGGTGTGTGCAGGCAGGCCCCCTCTGGGGAAGGAGGAAGCACCACTGACAGCCTCCTCCCTCACGAAACTGCCCGATCCCCTTTGGTTGTGATGGTCACCCTTTTGGAGGGATACTGGACAAACCCATGGGGAAGAAGGCCATCCGTGGCTGCTAGTCCTCATGGCTCCAGTATCAGATGCAGTAAGCGATGTGCCCCAGTTGCATGGGCAGGAGGCGGCTGTTGCACTCCTTGTGGGTTTCCCTGGGCATTGGGTTGACCACTGTGTGAATGGGACTGGATGGACCCTGGCCTGATCCGACACAGCTGTCCTCATCTTCGTACGATGTGGATTTGGGGCTCTTGTGGGGACGGGGGGAAGCGCTGCCCAGGAGGCCACTTCAGCAAGGCTCCCTGCCCCCCCCCCCCCCCCCCCGCCCCCCCCCCGGGGGCCCCCCGTCCCCCCCCGCCGCACACGGGGCCCCCCCCCCCCCCCCCCCAATCTGCGGCTCTTTGCGCAGGAGGGGAAGAGAGAGAAAACCTTCCCCCGCCACAACTTTAGCTGCGACCTCAGATGGAACCTGCTCGGGGGTGAGAGGCGCAAAACGGAAAGCGACGGAGCGAGCGGGCGGGGGGGGGGGCACAAGCCGGGAACATCGGAGCAGAGGGCAGGGGCTGCTCCCTCTACCGGGGCTGTGGAAGTGTGCGCAGGAAGGTGCCGGCTCGCCCAGGGGCTTCCTGGCGCTTCGAGGCGGAGCGGAGCGAGAACAATGGCTGGGTCGGGAGCCCGGGCTGAGCAGCCGGGACGCGGAACCGTGTGACTAAGCGCAGTCCGGTCCAAATTGGCTGGGCGGCTGGGATTCAGGGAGTGGCGGCCGAGCCTGACGCAGCACGACGCATCCAGCCCCGTAAGAGCTGCGAGGGGACGGCGAACTGGAGGGTCAGAAAGCCGAGCGAGCGTTTTCTTGCCCACACGGATCCAAAGGGGTGGCCATAAAAGGGGTGGCGTGCAAGCGTCCGATCGTGCCTGGTCACAAGGGGGTTTGTTTTCCTTCTTTAGGCATATGATCCAGGAGGAAAATGGCTGGTAAGTCTGGAGTGCAGAGAGAGCTCACGAGGCACAGGTGCCTGGCCGGTGGGGACCCCAGAAACCCAAAGGAGAAAAGGGGAAAGGCTCTTGATTCTTGCCTCAGGAGACTCATGACCAGAATAGCCTAAGAAGCTGCACTCCAAGGTTTGTGAGCTTTGTCCGTGTGTGTTTTTCCAAACGTATGGAAGCGGTCCAAGCAGACTGAACTTGGTGCAAAAGGCAGTCGGGAGGCAGGAGTTCTGAGCCTAGGAATTGCTTGGGGGTGCCAGAATGGAACGGGTCTCACCCTTTCCCCCATAATGTTTGTCAGCTTTCTTCAGTGTAACATCATAATTCCTGGCAAGTTTGTTTATTCATTTATTTAGCAAACTTCTATGCCGCCCCATTCGCCGAAGCCTCGGGGCAGCTCACCACAATAAATAAATAAATACACAATTACCCATATAAAACAATATAATTGGAGACGTCCTGGCTGAAGATATAAAATCAATAAATAATATTAACAGTTAAGTTGGGAGAGTCATTTTGCTGCTGCTGCAAAAAATGGGGAGTCAGAAAGCCTGGCTGATTTCTAGCAAAGCATTCAGATATCGACGGGTGGATCTACATCGACTTTTTGCCCACAGCCCTGGTTCAGGGCACGCGCCACCAAACAACCCCCCCACACACACACACACACACACACACACACACACTTTCTTCCTCGGTTGCCTTTGCATCTCTCCTTTAGCTGATGGTGCATCCAAAGCAGCAGGCTGCGCACACAATCAATAATTATGTTTGAAGTGTTACGTTAACTGGGCATCCCTCCCCGGAGACTCATAAAGCTAAACGGCTGTGCGCCAGCGGTTTCCGTGGTGTTTGTTTTCAGCGAGGCCGAGGCCGGCTTGGCAGGCATCCCACTGGTTCCTTCACCTCGCGGCACTGCCGAGCCGGAAGCTGCTCCTAAGATGCGCCATGGACTCGTGTTGCGTTCCCCCCGAGCAGGCGGCAAGGGGTGCAAACAGCCCTTCCACGTCGCCTCCACGGGCTTCGGCCTGTGCCGTTCCAGGACATGTGCTTGAGTCTTTCCTGCTGGAGAGAAGCCTCCCCCACAAAGTTCTGCAGGGCTCCCAGTTGGGCATACTGGGGGCACTTCAGAACATGGGGCAGGGGTGGGGAACTCCTTTCACCCCAAGGGCCTAGCTCCCTTGGGGGCCACATCCCTCCTGGGATCTCTAGGAGGCCCAGAGGGATGGGTTTAGGTCTTGGATTGCTGCAGGAACCAAGCCAGGTCCAACTTCTGGCAGAAATAGCAGGGCATAAGTTAAACTTCACCCCAGCGGGTCTGCTCTGAGCTTGACTAAGGCTCTGCTCCTCTGCTCCCAAGAACAGGCAGAGAGGCTCTGCAGCACTCAGAAGCAGAGCACAGGGGCTGCAGTTCTCTCCTGTTACTCATCCCCAGCATCTGCTATCAGGAGATAGAGTGCTCCAGTATGTGGAAGCTCCACTTAGCGATCACAAGCAGGGTCTGCAGCAAAATGTGATTTGACTGTGTGGGTAGGGACTATTCGCTGGAACAACCCCCAACAGCAGGGTACACACACCCTATCGCCGCCCCCCACACCCCCCTCCTTGTAGCCCATGGTGCATGAGGTTCTGCCCAGACCTTTATCACACCCTCCCAACTTTTTTCAGAAAATGAGGAGAGGCGCACGTGGCTCATGCAGTGCTCACCCCTGCTGTGCGGGCCTCCGTGCGGCATGCAGGGTTCGGGGAACTGGCCAGGAAGCAAGACACTCCCCCCCCCCCCCGCTTTCCTCCATGTGCATTCATGCATTTGCAAACATCCTTTTTCACATTGCTTTTCGCTGCATGGGGACTTTCCCTCTAAGCTTATAGTTTTAAACCTTCTGCATGGCCCTTTGCAAACCTTTGGGTTCCCCTGCACATGTGCATCGCTCTGTTTTGTCTCCGTGGTCTCAATGCAGCTACAAAATGGTTGGCACAGGCCGCCCAAGTTCAGTGTGAGAGGGAGGGCTGGCTTGCGGCCATCCGATAGCCCTGTCTCCCGCGCATTTGTCACACCCTTTCCTTTCAGGTCATCGTAGTGACAGCGAGTCCCAGAAGTTAATTAAGGTTTGCATGAAGACGTATTTCCTTTTGTCAGCCCTGAATTTTTCACCCATCAGCATTAGTAACGAATCCGGAGTCTTCCTAATGCAACACTGAAAGAAAGACCTCCTTTGCCAGCTCTTTCCCATAGGTCTGATTTCGCAGGTCCACCTGCCACTCCGGACCTGATTCGGAACGATGAAATCCATGTGAGCCTCATGCATGCATGTTTACTCAGGAGGAAGGCGCAGCGTATTCAGTAATGCTTTCTCCCTTCTATGGGTGCATTGCAGCAAAACCTCACATCCCAGTCTGAGGTACTTGCTGGGAAGTAATTGCCAGCTGAGAACACACGGAGAACAGAACTATTATTTAAGATGCAATCAGATGTGTGTTTTGCTGGAAAAAGAGCTCTAAATCCCTGCCTGCCCAGGCCGTCACAGTGGGGTGCTTTTTCTGGTTTAACATGCATACGGTGATGGGTTTGCTTTGCTTTTCATAATAACTAGCAGCACAACTGCAGATGGCCGCTTTGGCATGGCCAAAAAAAGTGAGCGGAAAGGCCTCCGATTTGCATAATTTTGCACACAGTCCTGGAGATGCTACAGGCCAGTTTAGATGTAATTGCTCTCATTTAAGTAGAAACCTTCTTCATCTCACTGGAGCAAGCCTGGCTGGGTAACTTCCTGCAAGATTG